AAATTATATTGTGGGTTAGAGATAACTGCACTGTGGGTTAAATGTGGCCCGTGGGCCTCGAGTTTGACACGTCTGACTCAGACCTCGGAGGGTTAAGTGGAAAAAGCCTTTTATTATGATCTATGCACAGTAAATGAAATGCATTTGTCAGAGAGCTAAGCACTTACTGCTATTGCTCATCAAAATTGTGCACGCAAAAAGTTGTTTTCATCATTTTTGGACAGCTGGTAATACAGCAATACGCCCTGTTAGCTGCTGGATGAGAGCACCTGCTCACAACATGAAAAAGACCAATTAGCGCCTGGCTTCTTTACTAAAACAAAGCTTTTTGTTGCTGCACCCATTGTTTAAGGTGACATTTGTTGTTGCCACTGACAACTAGGTGTGTTGGCAAACGAGCCAGGATGGAAAGCTTTCAGATTCCCACGTTTAAAGACATTTAGTGAGAAAAGCATCGTTTCTGTACACCGAATGTAGGAATGTTGTAAAGCACTGAGCTAAGAATAAATGTCCTTTAAAAACAAACAAAACTTACATCATAACCAAAAGTGCACCTTTCATTTTTCTCTAAAGTCTTTAGAGGATGAAAAATTAAAAATCCAACGGATGCACATTCCTGTTTAATTATTGTGGTCAGAGATGCACGTTCATCGTGGTAATGAGGGTGAAGGTCAGGTTGGGGACATTAAACCAAATCTTCTTTGGGTCGTATGTAGATATATATATTTGCCTTTATGTAAACTCGTGTGTGGATTAGAGAAGAACCTGCTGGAAACAGAATGGCTTAAAGAAAACATTAAATCTAAAATAACTATATGATTGACGGCTGTGGTGAGTGTACAGTATGTAAGCCTCTGCCCTGAACCGCAGTAGGAAACACTGCACACGTGTAAATATTTCAAGTGTTCACAGAAAATGGCACTTTAAGCCTGTGAGTGTCAACACCACTCATCTCTAGCAGCTCGGTGTCGGTCTGCGCAGAAACACGTCGTCGTAGCACTTCTGTGAACGCGGCCGACAACCATCGGTCTGTGGCAGTCGATGTAATTCTGATTTCAAGAGAGATTAAGTGTTCCTTCTCTGCTCACACTTGTTTGGATGTGTTCATAGTCGGGGTTCATTTGGCTATAAAATTCCAGCGTCTGAGCCTTACATGGAGATTGTGAGTCAGCTTCAGAGGATTTTCAGTTATCCCGAGCCACGGAGCAGCTTTGCAGACAAATTATCCTGCATCCATAAGTCTCTCTGACTGACAGCCGGGCATTTGGCTCGGGACCGAAACCTGTAAACAACAGCCGAGTCTGTGAGATGCACAATTTGCACACGGAGAAACTTCCTGTGCACTCACACAGCACTTCACATCACCTGCCAATTTGAGAACATGTGTCAGAATATTAAAGTATCGTTGGTTTGTCTCACGTCTTCAAAGCTGTCAAGGTTTCATTGTAAATGTGAGGACTGAATGACGGAGCGGAGGCTTTTAAAGGTCTGTGCTCCTTCAGAGCAGAGCTGCTGCTGAGGAAAGGATGGATACAGATGGAAAGAAAGGTGAGTTATTTAGTGGGAATCCAGCAGGATCGACGAGACTTCTGATAGATGAAGACAAATAGCGTTGCATAATAACCCCAGTTCTCGTGGCGGCGTTAAGATGCCAAGCCGCTGCTCTTATTTCCCAAACGAACATGTGCAAATGTGCTGCGGCTCAGCCGTAATTTAAGTCTTGGACAAAACAGCGTGATCCACTTTAGTCACACTTGAAATCAGGATTAGAAAAATCTCTTGGCGAGTGATCTGAGAGAAGTCAAATCAGGCCAGTCGAGATTCAGTGGGACACCCGAGAAGAGAGCGAGCTCACGCTGTCGATTCCGCTGCGCTGTTTTCAACCAGATGGATAGCCAATCGCAGCTCCAGATGTGCTTCGAATCCATCTGAGCACAAAGGAGGATGACATCCAAAAACAAAAGGGCCTCGCTCTCACTCTGAAGAGCGAGTGCCACACTGATTGAAAGAGTGGAGGGATAATTGCAATCAGGCCGGTGCCAGTTTTCATTACGTCCTCAGCCGCGGGTCTTAATGCAGCCCTGCACTCCAGCAAAGCAGAGGCTGTTGTTGTGCGACTCGGGGCTCTTCTGGCGAGCCGGGTGGATCAGATGAAGACGGCACCGACAGCTTTAGATCGCTGGACTCTTAATCTGCTCCTGTCTGTCGGATGTGATGTAATCTCCCAATGTGGGATTAAAAAGAGCACGCACAAACACAAAAGCAGCCCCGCCGTTTTCTGTGCAGCTTTCGAGGGTCACTGCAGGGGTTAATAGACTGTTTGAGGCATCTGAGGAGTGAGGCAGTCGTGTTATTTTCTCTCTAATTCTTGCTTTAAAACTTCTATTGACAGGCGGAGGCGCACTTTAACCTGAAATGTTTAACGTTATCCATTTTCCATTGTTACAGCCTGATCTATAGGATGGCAAGCTGGGAAGTGCAGCATCTGAATTGGTGGTGTTTTGTCTTTTATTCCCAGATAATTGTAACGGCCCTCTGGTATCGGCGCTGCCCCATTCATCCTTTCAGAGCTCGTCTGAGTCCTCCGTCAGCTATGCTGCCTACAACGCCAAGCTGAACAGAAGAGATGGTGAGTACAGTGAATGTTCCTGCATTATTCAGCATTTCTAAATGCTTGTAGTTAACAATAACCATCGAGGTAACAGAGCAGAAAACACTCAGCTGAAGTGTTTTTATAGTGGGTTTATGGGTTGTTTTGGAAGGCGCAGACAAATAAGCTCTTAAGACTTTCTGAATCTATCACATGCAGCCATATAAAGGGGTCTGTTTACCTATTTGGAGGAGATGGCCCCTCTATTGGAAGCAGCGATGAGTGGGCCGAGAAACAGGCACAGTCGCCATGGCAACTTGAGGCACTGACTGGATGGTTTTTTTGCCACAGACTGTATGTAAAAGATGTGCACTGTGACATCACTCCTGCCTGCCTGCATACCTTACAACTGTCAGTGTCAGTCGTAACGTAGGCTAACACATGTTTCATCATGAACATCATATATGTGTGTATGTACACGCACACACTAACCAAGCATCAGTAATCATCAACTAACATCTATAGAAACAGCTGTCAGAGGTGGAGCAGGTCACCTGGTCAGAGTATCCTTGGATCAATGCATTGATCAGAGTGGGAATGCTGGATACAAAGTACTGAAGCACTGGGAAAAGAGCTGGTATGATCTGGTGACTGTAGCAGCGCTTTGAGTGGGAAAACGCTGTAGAAGAAGCAATCCATTTACTTCATCCATTAGCAGAATTACTCACCCCTGGAAGAAAAGAGCAGTGTAACTGAACCGTCTGCAAACGTCACC